TTTTCCAAAGAAAATCAAATTGCTTGATCGATTTGTATTCTGATTAATGTGGCAATGTAAAGCTAAAACAATAAAGTTGCTAAAATACAATTAAAGCGGATGACTGGAATTAATTTATTCTTAACCTTGATGTCATTTGGCAAATACTCCGGTTGATATAATAAAAATAAAACACATGTTGCGCGCATATTAGGTATCATTTTTAAATTCTAATGTCAAAAGCAAACAATTTACGAATAATCTTCAAATAATAATAGAACTACTTAAATGTTGGAATAAATATTAATAATCATAATTTATTTACTTGTTAGCATTATAAATGATAAATCAGTGTATCATCCGAACACTAATGACACTATTATGTTACACGTCTGCGGTTGATAACCATATTTGATCATGACCAGAAGCATAGGTCAAGTTGCATAAAAGTAATAAAGAGATTAAACTGTTGTCATCGCCCACAATCTGCCCACTATTGTCACATGTGTTTAATTATTTATAAATCATGTAAAATTGATGTTACGTTGTAACATGAAATGATATCTTGCCCTTTATGGTCTGAGCGTAAAATCGACGGAGAGAGCGGGGGCGAATAGGCGCCGGTATAGTTATGATTTCTTCGTGACGTTTAAACTTTCAAGGTTTTTGTTTTCATTAGAACCGGTTTGCGAAGCACATTTTTCTAAGTAACATGTAGTTACGTATAGGAAATGTACAGTCGAAGTCAAACATTTTGAAGAACGTTGAAAAAAAATATTTCTTTTTTTACGCACACTGCTAATTTTGTGACGACATCAAATTCTTCATATCAAAAATGTTACAAAAAACTGCACAACAATAAAAAAAGTAAATGTTGTACAAACAAACAATTCTAAATGGTGAATATTATAATGCTTTGACAGTGTCGCAAAATTTGTTTCAGTGGGCGGGAAAGCGAGGACCTTGACCCCCTCGGAGTGGGTTTTAAGTGGGCTAAAGTTATGAATTCCTCTCTGCATATTACTAAGGTAAAGTTTTTTTATTAAAAACAGATTCTAATTAAGCGTCGACTCATGCTAAAATATTTCCACAGTATGTAATGTAATTAGATAATCAAATACTAATAACGGAGTCAACCTAATTATTTAATCGTAAAGTAATTATTTTCCTTGTACCGGCTAATTTTATTGTCAATAAGGATACTTCTTGTCTTCGTGGTAATGTCGTGAGCTTACGCGAGGAGAGAGGCGAGCGACTTGGCGCCAACGCAAACCGTGCTCAGACTCGGAATGACACAACTACTTATTATAAATTATTTATTTTTAACGGTTGTCCTGACTGAAACTGAATGTTTAAGACTTAGATAAAGTACTTATTTAAAGTCGCTTTAATAAGTTTTTCTATAATTAATTTGTCTTAATACAACAACTAAAAATATTGAAAACAACAACTAAAAAATTTTAAAATGCAATTATTGTTATCTCAATAATTTAAAACAATACAGCAATATATACTAAAAGTTTTAACAAAACAGTTAACTTTTCCTTCGCTTGGATCACGTAGAGCATCGTAAACAGAAATGACGTAGTTAGGAATGACAAACTGGAAACGGACATAGACATCTATGCTATGCATGTATGAATATAGGTATAGGATGAGGTACTCGGTGTAAACGAGAAGCAGAACCGGTCCTGCAGCTGCGCGCGCGCCATCTATGCGACTTACAATAACTTGTGTACATATCTTCCTATTTTGAACGAACTCAAACAGTAAAAGGAATAAACAAGCACGAATTAAGGTAAAATTAATAGGCCTAAATGTCAGTCACATTTATATTCTGCTCTTGGCTAATTAATAAAATTATATATCGCGAAAATGATGTATTTGTGTTGTTTATAACTATAAACCAATTTATTTAAATTTTTATCTATCTGTCCTCCGCATTTGTTCCCGGTAATCTGCGAAACGGCTGAACCGATTTTGACGCGACTTTTTCTAGAAGGATAATAGGGGGAATATTAAAGGCTACTTTTTCAAATTCTGCGTTTACGTAGTCGAGGTTTTGCGACTTGCGATAGTTATATAAAAATTAAACGAAGCGCGCTAGCAATGGTCATTTAATCCTTAATCGTCACGCAAACTTCGCCTTACTATCTCGTATAAAAAATGAGTACTTGGGCCATATGACAATATGCATAGGCTACAAAAAATAGAATGTTGAAACAGTCAAAGATTAGAACAGCGGGTCGATGTAGTAATCAGTTCGGTAATTGGTTGGCCCAGATTGTGCCGGGCTGAGGGCACGTAGCGCCACGACACACTTCTGTAAACGTGCCTAAACTATGGACAATGCAATTGGTACATTTAATTATCTACCATATTCACTTAAATTATATAATCACATTGTTTTATGTTAAGGAATGATTCATATGTTTTAATGTTATGCGATGATTATCATAATACTGGCAACTTGAATTTATAATATAGAGATTATACAGATAATGTACGCTTTTAAAAAGAAAAGTACATTTTGCATTAACAAGAAATGTGTATATGGTTCGAAATTATAAAAAATACAACTAGTTAAAGATAAAAAAAGTACACAGATATTACTATGAAACTTATTATTTTGGTGCCCGATCGAATACGTACTCGAATTCAATGGTAATTTGTTATTATATTTTATTTACACATGTCACTAGCTGAGAATATATTTTATTATCTGTGGAATGGAAATATTCTGTGTTTAAAATTTAAACACTGAAAGATTTTAATATTTAATCTTTAAATTGATGATATTCATGTCTGTGTTTAACAAACAAATGAATACAGACTTTTAAAGGTTAAATTTAGATAGGTTTCTTGTAATTTGTCATTTCTATTGAATTCGATTATGAAACCTGATGAACCTAATTAATAACGTGATTAGTCGTTTAACGTGTATCAACTGACGAGATCACGATGATAAAATATTTAAATTGTATCAAGTAAATTACAAAAATATGTTTATTAAACACTTTACAATTAGAATAGTAGTAAAAGTTTAATCGTTAAACTAAACACAAGTTAACATGTATGTACACCGTTATAAGAAAGTTGCAAGCATTGTAGTAAAATTAATTAGCGGATGTTATCTGCACAGAGAGCGATGGCTTTGTCTGATCTCTAATGTTTCTTGTACATCTCGCTAAAACCAAAATATATGCTTTAACATACAACAGACAAGTCTGTGTCTCGGTCTTGAAATTCAATATGAATGTCGTAAAATTAATTGTATATTTAAATTAATTACATTGAGTTGATATTTAATTAAATCTTATAATATTCGAGGTCAAAGTTCTATGAACTCGTTCACGGTCTCTGTCGTTTGCGAAGAGCGCTAAGTTTAAACTAAACTGAAATAGAGCCCGTTCGTGACAGTGGCGCCACCGAGTGATGTAGAGCTAACTCTAAATTAGAACAATGTAGTTACAATCTGATCGTCCTAATACTAATCTATTTTAAATACTGAAAAAATAATTGAAATTATTGTTGACATTTTATGTTGAAGAATCATAATAAAAGTTAAAAAAATGTGCTTAATTCCTTACATCAACACTATTTTTGTTACATACGTTTTCAAAGACCAGTTAAAAATGAATATAAAAATTATGAACAATTTATTTATGACTTGTGCTGGCATTCAATAATGTTGTAAAATAACTATAGGTACTAAAAATAAACAATATGTGATAAAGAAACAAACAAAACATAGACAATGGCAAAGGCGAAGAGGAAAGTCCATAAAATAGATAGTAGAGTGGAGGTAGCTAAATCATGCCCTTCTATAGAACCAGTTAGACCAGACTGGACTGAACATTAAATCCCAGCGAATCCAGGCTCAAGTAGTGAAGTACCTATTTATAGCTTGTATATTGTAGCTTTATATATTAAAGGTCTTAAGTATACTCTTATGTCTGTACAACGACATATAATAATTAAGGAACTTTAATGTAAGTGAAGTAACGTAGGCAAAGTGGGGTAAGGCCCTTGTACACAAGGTTATGTAAATCTTTGAAAGCGATTTGTGTCGCTAAGTGATTTGTATAACAATGTCGTAGAGTGGCCGACAAATCGGGCGAGAGATTTGGCAGTTCATGTTAGCTTTGCAGTCGTGAATAGACTCTACCCGCGTCGACAACTCCACTTTGAATGTGTGTTGTATGTACTTGAGACGTAAGTGTACAATATTAGTTTCGAAGATTAACATTTCATTGCATACAAGAAGCATAAATAGCAAAACGCATGGCAAATAAATTACACAATCCTCCTACTGATACGTATATGAATAGGATCAATTGTTTGTTTTCATTTAAACACAAAAACAGTCACAAAAAGTATTTTCATAAAATATTACGAAAACGTGTTTAAATATTGTTTTGACCATTTTCGAACGAGGCAACGAATGCGGTTCATTGTTATAGAAAAGGTCACGTCTGATCGAACAGTCTGAGACCAACGAGCGGAGATGATTGTTCTTTTTTAATCCAGTCATGATGCAGCGATTTTATTATTATTCAAAATGAGTTGGACCCCTTAAGCATAACATTTATTGTCAATTATGATCACAAAAATTACAATTGAAATGCACTTTCACCGAGATTATCAATTGTTAACCCGCATTAACTTCCTTCAGAGTTACGTTATATCCTAGCAGACAAAATCCCCATTAGTTAATTTCAGTCAATTCGTAACAAACAATCGAATAATTTCTAGTTTAATTTCTTTTTATAGTATTGAACAAGGATTAATTGTTGGTTACTGAAACCAAAATCTCTGTATAACACAACTTTCACAAAACAGATATAAATTTTTAAGATATAAAACATTTTACCGGGTATTGTGGTCTCAGAAACCCACGATAAGTCGGTTACCTTACGTATAACACAGTTATATCTAATCTTGGACCCATAAGCTATGGTTTGTTGAATTATTTAATGGATGAATTTGTTAGTTTGTTCTGATAAAAAACTTGTTCTTACCTTTAATGCGCAAAAAATACAGGAAGGGCCGAGACAGGCGTGGCCGGTGAGCTCGCGGAAACTGCGCCGGAAAATGTCCAGATGCCACAGAACCTGTAAATTTATAAAGATTTAATTACAAAGTCACACATACATGTGATTTAAATAACATGGAAATTAAAATATAAAAAAAAATCAGAAAAAATCATCCTGTAGTAATACTTTTGCTTGTTTTATGTCCAATATTTCGGGTTCGCAGACACCTAATGACATAGTTACAGTTCTCCAGCTGCGTTATACGATAAATAGCAGTTTATACAGTGTTTAAATATAAAATATGTAGTAAAGCAACAATTAAAAGAACATTTTTCGTAAGTTGTAACTCACTGTAGTTCTATAGAACTGCCCCATGCACTCGCAGGTGAATACTTTATTGTCTATTTTTCTATTCGTTCATGTGGCGTGTGTACGTGCCCTTATTAGGACATCTGTTATAAACTTATAATGACTTCTAATTGTATCCACACACGACATAAATTGACGATATTTTCATACAAAACATTGAATTATAATTATAATATAGATTTACGATCATATTAGCTGTCGCCCGAAACTCCGTCCGCGTGAAATTAAAAAAAAACATAATAGTCTATGTTTTCTTCCAGACTATACTCTATATCTATGCATATCATCGCGATCCGTTTAACCGTTCTGGATATACTTTTTTCACAAACAACTATCCATCCACCCATTTAAACATTCGAGTTTATTATAATATTAAAAAGTAAGATTCAAGTTGCCATTAGTATTGGAAACAGACAATGTATAAATCAATAATAATGAACAAACGCCTACACAAAAACTGACCTTTTTCTTTGTGGTATTTCCCACAAAAAAATCTAGATGCGTTTGTACAAACCTGGTTTTACTAGTTTACTATTAATAGATTGAATTACATAGAATGTGTCTATGAATGAAGATATTAAACAGAAGTAGGTTTATAACTATTTTTATAATAAACTAGGGTAGAGATGGAAGTCTTAAGGATTATGTGTATGCACGCGACTTGACATCCGCGTCAGGTGCAACGCCAGGTGGGCCCGCAAAAACTGCAAGGCGACGAAAACGGTCTCGTATACATGCCACCTATTCCTTAGTACGTGGCAGAGACACGTGTACATTAAAATTTATGATGAGCCTGCTGTCTATAACCATATGCTGCATTTAATAGTAACAGGTTTGTAAAAGGTGTTATAATAAAATCGAAATATTATCATCAAGCACTTGCAACTTTGTGCTTATCATAATATTAGGATAACATTATGAAACTTCTCATGTTCTTGGTAGGGGAATGCGTTATGTTTTACAACTTTACAATACATCTCAGATATTCAAAGATTTAGATTTTTAATCTACTTTTACAGGTTAACGTTAACGTGCATAATTTGTACTTTACATTTCACAGAGTAACCTAGTTTAAAGGTTATACTTATACAAATAGATCTATTTTTCTTACTAATCTTACTAATATTATTGTAAGGTATTTGTGTTTATAGTGTTGCACGGCGACTTTAATAAATCAGTTCGTTACCTACCGCGTTGTTTTATTGACGTATCACTGGCGACGAGTGCGGGATAATTATTTTTTTTCTCTTTTTTGGTTATAGAATACTTTGTCGTTAGTATTATTGTAGTGTACAAAATGCCGATAGGTAAAATAGAAGCATTTTCGTTAAGTTCGAAACAGTGGCCGGCTTATATACGCCGCGT